TCTTGCAAGAGTCAGGAGGAGAGATCCCTCCAAAAAAAAAAATCTCTCCTGGTGATTTTAATCTGCTGCACACGCACTTAAGACCTGGAGATGTCTCTGGGCCTCACCAGCTCAGTCATGCACACAAGCTGTTGTATAAAAGTAACCAAATAATCTCAGTCAGCTGTTAGCAGGTGTCAGCCACGTGCAGAACTTAGCCAGATAATCAAAGTTTCATGGTTTGTCTGCTCCCACTCAAACACTACCGAAATGGAAATGTTTGGTTTTTAGGCTATCACATAGCTAATATCAAAATCATTCTCTCTAAAAATACAGGCAAAACAAACTCTCCCAAGGAACAAAGCATTATTTGTCCTTACTACAGAAAATAGACTGAATGAACAGAAGTGACACCTTTTCTTTGATACATTTCTTATGTATGTTTCTTCATAAATACAAAGTAATATTAAACTCATGACATAACTAATTTACAAACTCAGACAAAAATATTCACAAAAGGGACACTAAAAGGCTGCAAACCTCAAGAAATCTTAGAAACTTTGCATAAAAGATAGATTCTGGGAGTGGTGACATTTTCCTCTGGACACTTATGCCTACAGCAGAAATACAGCACCCAGCAATAGAATATTAAATAACATATTTTTAACAAATGTGTCTTTACAGCATATAGTTTGACACAGGAAAATAATCTCTAGCAAAATCCCTATATGTAATTTTGACCAGTATCGTAAGAATTCCTGTACTTTGGGGCTTTTTAATAGTAAATATTATTGTGTGAACATATTTGCCTTTGGGGAGGATGGGATTACCTTGAATTACAGATCCCCTATTATGCAATGAGGCAAAAGCCCTTTGGGGTCGGATGGAGGGCTATACAGAGCCACCACATGTATTTCTAACTGTGGCCACATCTCCTGCTTTGTTGGGGGGAGTGTTTGTTTTGGTGGGTTTTTTGTTGTGGTTTGTTTGTGGCTGTTTTTTGTTCCTCCCTCCAAACAAGTTCTTTCTTTCTACTATTCTGCTTTTCAGCAGAGCCACAACTGACCTAAGACTGTTCCTCCAACAAAGGAAAAAAAATGAACCTCCTTTAAAGTCTGAGTCAAAACAGCCACAACATTTCTGGCAGAATATTTTTCCCTATTTGAACATGCTAATGCCATTTTATCAAAGAGCTAAATAGTGACTTTTACCAACATTCTCAAAATTTGGACAGAACATGTCAATTTAACAAAGTATAGTCATTTGATACTTACTGGCTGAAAGAACAGAAGTTTTAAGATTCTGATTTTTCATCTTGACAAAAATTTTGAAATCTGAGCACTTTCTGCATAATGGAAATCCCTACATTCTCTACAATATGGCTGACAGTAGTGTTCCTCATCAAGATTACCTGAGACTTCTCACTTGAAAAGTCTGGGTCAGGTTACCTACATTTTTGTGAAGCAGTAGCTAGACAGGAGGAAAGTTTCCATAATCGTTGTTTGTTTCAGGCAAAATGTTTGGGGGAAAAAATAAAAATCAAAAATCATGCAATTCCATGGTTTTATTCCTCATAAATCCTCATTAGATTATTTTTAAATGCACTATACTTAGAGCAAAGGCCTCATATTCCACCCCGGAGACGTCTTTTGCCATTTCTTTGAAAATTCAACCTAAACTAGATCACATTGTGAAACTTTGAGAAATTGGCTATTCATAACACTTTAAAAAAAAAAAAACAAACTCTTCTATTTCAAGAACTAAATTCTTAAGGTCCTGTTGCTATTGAGCACACTGTCCCCTCTCAGAACCCCTGTTTGAATTGCTCAGCTTCATCAGCCACAGCAAACAACCTGCCTGTAGTTCAGCTTTGTTCAGACACTTGCCAACTGCTTTGTCTTCAATGGCATTGCCTTCTGTTTATTGCTAAGCAGTACAGAAGAGGACATCATATCAGCCAAACTCAGAAGAAATAGAAGCTGAACCAGGAAGGGGTCAATGGATTTAGATGGTGAGTCTGGTGTCAGCATGACAGGAAGGGAGAACAACTGTGCCTGGCTAGTGGCAAGGGAAGACTGGAGCTACCTGGGCAAAGGGATGTTCAAAGAGCAACGAGGGGACCCAGGGTAAACATTTCTGGGCACGTGAACTGAGAGCGGAAGCCTATAGTTGTGGGGAATCAATGGAAAAAAAAATACCAGTATTTGGTTATGAAAGGCATGCTAATGTGCCAGTGCTGTATACAGATTAAAAGTCTATATATGTGCATATACAGGCACCCTGAATTCAGTTTCCCAACTTATAAGTTACCACCTTCACAATATTAATAATGTTCTTTAACACAGTACATTGTCTGGTGTAGAACCCAAGACATGCAGGTGGGCTGTTCTGCCTGTGGAGGGCTGAAGTGCAAATCTAGAAGTGGGTTGATTGATATAATTACTTCTCCCTGGAAATGGTGGGAGATGCAACCAGGGCAGCTGGAGTGTGATAAGACTTCTTGCCAGCCTTAAAATGCTGTAGATCCACGTCTGATATACTTTTGAAATGCCAGCACTGCACATGGATTAGAATTCCTCTTTCATGCTGCACTGAATGATGTGATTATGTCTGTAATACTATAAACCAACTGTGTCAACAATAAAAATGACACATTTATGGCATAGGTTATTAAAACAATGAAAAATAGGCCAGTGCCATTTTAAGTTCCTTTAGCGGGCTGAATAATAACTAGTTAAATAAGGAATAAAGAGATAAATAATTTATTACGGAATCAGAAGCATCACAACAAGCACAAGAAAATTGTCTTCACTTTAAGCCAAATCTCAAGACACTTCAAAGCAGAACAGACAATACACAATGAATGTGTTAGAGCAAATGCAAAGGAACAGGACTTCGAGGACCTGGCACAGCCCAAAACGAAGCCATCACTCAACTTAAAAACATCAGTGTACACCCATAGCAACCAGTTAGATACAAAAGTTTATGCTAAAAGTGATGGTGGCTCAAAAAAAACTGAAGACTATTGTGGTGGCCAGGTAGATTGCTTGTTTCAGCACACACCCACTATTCCTATCTGATGTGGTGCTGGACTTCATGCAAGCACAGGAGGAAAACAGGACTCAAATTTGTACTAAGAGGTATAAAAGCTCATTATAAACTTAAGACTGCTTAGAAGTAATGCCTAGCTCAGAGATCAGATTAAGGAGGAAATGCAGAGTAATATTCAATTACTTATTCTGGAAAAGAACAAAAGAACAGAGCACACAGAATTCAGTATAATCAAATGCAACTTCCATTACAAGCCTGTATTTTTCATGCTAGGTCTGACAATTCAGTTCAAACAATTCAAGTTGTTTGTACTACCAAAGCCAATATTTCCAAAGATTAAAAAACTAAAATTAGGCTCCTACTTCCATTTTTGGCCTTTTAACTGGCCTTTCAAGATTTCAAATAAGATTGGGAGTGGATGAGAAAAGGCTTGTTTGGTTTCATTCTGCTCTTACAGAAGCAAAAGCA